TCTGAAAGCAGACGGGTCCCAGCCACGAGAGGGCACACCATTTGAGACATCCCCACGATCGGGGCGCGAACGGGCTAGTGAATCCCTCCCTGGCGGCTGCCCCGTTTGGATGCCCAAGTGCCGCGTCTGCTAGATCGCGGTGGTCATGGGGCTATCACAAAAAAAAGGGATCGCCCAAAAACAGGCAAACCGTTTGACACATCCCCAGAATCTGGGCGCGAAGTGGCGAGTGACACGCCCCCTGGCGGCTCCCCCTTGGGGCGCCCACGTGCCACTCCTGCCATGTCGCGGTGATCATGGGGCGACCAAGAGAGATTGCTTCGCGTGGGAAGGAGCAAGCAAACCGCGTAAGGTATCCCCAGAATCTGGGCGCGAACGGGAGAGTGTCACCGCCCCTGGTGGCGCCCCCGTGGGGTGTCCATCTGCAACGCATGCTATGTCGCGGTGATCGTGGGGCTGTCAAGACAGATGATCTTGCGAGCGACAACAGGCAAACCGCTTGAGAGATCCCCACACTCTGGGAGCAAATGGGAGAGCATCATATCCCCGGGTTGCTCCCCCCTGAGGTGCCCAACTGTCACGCCTGCTATGTCGCGCTGTGCAGGGTGCTTTCAAAACTGTCGATCTTCGGGGGGGCAAAAACAGGAAAACCGTTTGTGAGACATCCCCACAATCTGGGCCCGTCCGGCAGCGTATCACACACACACACACACACCCCTGCGGCTCCCCGTTAGGATGCCCAACTGCCGCGCCTGATATGTCACGATTGGCATGGTGCTTTCGAAGAGAAGGTCTGTGGGTGGGGGGGGCAAACAACAGGCACACCGTTTGAGACACCATTGCAGTCTGGGCGCGAAGGGGCGGATGTCACAGCCCCTGGCGGCTCTCCCTTTGGGTGCGCAAGAGTCACGCCTGCCGTGTCGCGGTGATCATTGGGCTGTCAAAGAGACGATGTTGGGGGGCAGAAGCAAGCACATTGCCCGAGACATCCCACGGTCTGCGCGCGGACGGGGGAGTGTCACACCCCCTGGTGGTTCCCCCCTTGGGGTGCCCAAGTTTCACGCCTGTCGTGTTGCGGTGATCATGGGGCAATCAAGAGAGATGATCCAGGGGGGCGAAAGCGGCACACCCCTCAGGACATCCTCGCGCTCTGGCGGCGCCTCCCTTGGGGTGCCCGGGTGCCACGCCTGCCATGTCGCTGTGATCACTGAGCTACCAAAAGGGTCGATCCCGGGGGAGAGAAACAGGCAACCCGCTCGGGAAATGCAGACAATCTGGGGGCGAACACGGGAGAGTGCCAAATCTTCTGGCGGATCCCGCTTGGGGTGACCAAGCGCCACGCGTACCATGTTGCGGTGATCACATTGTGAGTTCGAATGATCACACTGTGAGTCGTGTGTGTGTGCGCGGCGAGTCCGAGTATGACTTGTCTGGGCACGAGAGGAGCTGAGTGGGAGTGGTCTGTGCGTGAGTCTGATCGTTTGTATTTCGAAGTATCGTGGGATCTGAGCGTGAGCGGGCCTGAGTGTGGGTGAGTCCGGATCTGAGTGATCTGAGTGTGAGCTGAGTGTCCTGGCGGTGGGTGGGTCTGAGCCTGAGTGAGTCCGATTGTGAGTGGGTCTGAATACGAATGAGTGTGGTTGTGAGTGAGTCTGGGTATGACTGATTTGAGTCTGGGTATTTTCGAGGGAATAGGCGGGAAGGAAGCAGAGATGTGGAGTCGCCCCAGTAGTTACGATTGGCGTGTTCCCACCCCTGGCGCCCCCCCCCACGTGGGACACTGACAACAGCGCCTCGCTGTGGACATCCCACAGCCTGTTCTGATCGCAGAATGGGCAACACAAGCAAGTCGCTGAATACATCCGCACAGTCTGGGCGCGAATATTGGAGTGTCCCCACTACTGGCGCCACCCTCTAGGGGAGGGGTGCTGAAGCCAGCGCCACGCTCGAGACATCCTCGCAACTTGCTCTGATCGCAGGAGGGGGGTGAGGGGGGGAGCGGCGGGGGGAGGGGGGGGAGGGGATCGGGGGGGGCAACAAGCAAGCACATCGCTGGATACATCCCCATAATCTGGGCGCGAATGTTGGAGTGACCCCCCTTGGCGCGCCCACCGCCCCGGGGGTGCTGACGCCAGCGCCTCGCCTGAGGCAGCCCCACAACCTGTTCTGATCACGGAAGGGTCTGGGGGCGGGGCCAAAGCAAGCAAACTGTTTGACACCGCAAATAACAAAACAACAGCACAACACGCAAACTGTTTGACACCGAAAACAAGCGAACAGCAAAACAACATGTGCGCGAGTCTGGGGGTGATCCCACCTCTGGCGCCGACCCCTTGGGGTGCTGATGCCAGCGGCTCGCTCGAGGCATCCCACACACTCTGCGCTGATTGCAGAAGCGCCTGGAGGGCCAAGCCAGCACACCGCATGAGATACCCCCACAACTTGGATGTGAATATTGGGTTGACCCCACTCCTGGCGCCACCTCGTTGGGCTTCTGAAACCAGCGTCTCGCTCGAGAGTGCACGCCTGAGCGAGTTTCAGGGTGAATAGGCCTGTGTGTGAGTAGTGCAAGTGAGTCCTGGTGTGTGTAAGTCCAGGCGCGAGTGGGTCTGGATGTGAGTGGATCTCAGTGCTAGCGAGTGTGAGCGCGAGTGAGTCTGAGTGTGAGCGAGTCTTGGTATGAGTGAGTCTGGGTATTAGTGAGTTTGAGTATGAGGGTCTGAGTGTGACGTGTCAGTCTGAATGGGAGTGAGTTTGGGTGCGAGTGGTTGGGATTGGAGGGCCTCTTCGGGCCATCCCTGGGGCCCGCGTGGGGACGAGGGAAGGAGGAGGAGGAGGAGGAGGAGGAGGAACACGACGACGACGGTGACGACGACGAAGACGACGACCACGACGACGACGACGAGGGAGCAGAAACGGAAAACGACGAGGACAAGGGCGAGGACAAGGAGGAGGAGGAGGAGGCGGAGGAGGAGGAGGAGGACAACGAGGACGAGAAAAGAGCCCTCTAGATCGCCTCTTGGAGCCCTCGTGGGACTTCTCCTGGGGCTCTTTTGGAGGATCTTGGGATCCTCGCGGGGCCCTCTTGGCGCCCTCCTGGGCGTCCCGTGGGAGCCTTGGAGGGCCTCTTGGGGCCGCTGCAGAGGCCATCGATAAAAAAGGGAATCCTAAACGTGTCTCCCCCCCCTGGGGGCCATCATACCCGCATCCTGGGGCGCTCTTGGGGCCTCCTTGGGGCGCTCGTGGGCGCTCTTGGTGCCGTCTGGGGGTCCCCTTGGGCCCCTCTTGAGCCTCTCTTGGCCCATCTTGCGGCCTCAAGAGCGCATCGGACGCGAAAAGGCGAGAAGACACAACTCATTGATTTTCCATAGGTTTTGAAACATGTTGGCCTCTGGGGAGGGTCCTGAGGGGGCTCCGAGAGCACTTGGAATCGTCTTGTGGCCATCGTCGGGCCGTCTGGAGCTATGCTGGAAGCTATCTTGAACCATCGTCGGCTATCTTGAGCAATCTTGGAGACCATTTTGGAGCGTCGGGGGCCCTCTTGGAGCCATCCTGGACCATCTTGGACGCCCTGACACTCCGCGCTGCGTGTGCCCTTTCCCCGACGATCCTTTCCCGAAAACGCGCTCCCTCAGAAAGTCGCCAGAGGCAGGGGAGGAGGACGGGGAGGGGAGGGGAGGGGAGCTGGAGCGAGAAGGAGGGGGAGAGGGAGGGGAGGCGACGGGGAAGCGGAAGGGAGCAGGAGGAGGGAGGAGGAGGAGGAGAGGAGGAGGAGGAGGAGGAGGAAGGAGGAGGAGGAGGAGGATGGAGGAGGATGGAGGGGCAGGAGCAGCATTCAGGAGGAACAGGATCGGCAACGGACGGGGGTGGGCTGGGGGAGGGGAAGGGGGGATCGGCGGCGAGAGAGGGGGGGAAGTGAAAAGGAGAAAGCCTTCTCAGAAGGCTGGGAAGTCCCCCAGCCTTCTGAGAAGTTTTCTACGCCTTCCCCGAAGACGCAACAATCTTCTCAGAAGGCGCGAGGACTTCCGTGAAGTCCCCCGCCTTCTGAGAGGGCCTTCTTCTTCTCACTTCCTTCCCTCGCTCGCCGCCGAGAGGAGGATCATGATCAGCTGCAGGAAAAGCAGGAGGAGAAGGAGGAGGAGGAGGAGGAGGAGGAGGAGTACGATCTAGAGAGGTGCACCAGAGGAGCCCCTAGCCACCGCAGCGCATGAAGGAGGGCTGCAGCTCAGCATGACGGAAACAGGTCCTGGATGAAAGAGGCTCTGTGAGTGTTTCGACGTTCTCCGGCCCTTGGGGGCCTTCACGGGCCCTGGGACCGTCACGGGATGGCTCAGGATGAAGAGCGGTTCCCGGGGCAAGCCCCGGCGTCTACGGTCCAGAGTCTTTGCGCAGCGTGTCGCGCCCCCGGTCGTGGCCCACCTCGCTTCGGCGCGACGCGCTGTCCACGTCCCCGTCCCCAGGCGGCCACGTCCCGAGCCTTCCCAGGCCTCCCGCCCCGCGGAGCGGAGCGACACGCCATACGCTTGCAGTGCACAGCGTGTCGCCTTGGCCGCCGCCGCGACACGCTAAGCAGAAGTTCTCCTTCTCCTCCTCTTCCTCCTCCTGCTCCTCCTCCCCCCCTTATTCTCTTCCCCCTCCTCATCCTCCGCCTCATCCTCCTCCCCCGCCTCCTCTTTCCCCTCTTTCGCGTTTTTTTTTTTGTTGTTGTTCTCTCTCTCTCTCTCTCTCTCTCTTTCTCTCCTCCTCCTCCTACTACTATCCTCCTCCTCCTCCTCCTTCCTCCCCTCCTCCTCCTCCTCCTCCTCCTCCTCCTCCTCCTCCTCCTCCTCCTCCTCCTCCTCCTCCTCCTCCTCCTCCTCCTCCTCCTCCTCCTCCCCCTCCCCCTCCTCCCCCGGCCGCAGGAGGCTTCCTCAGGCCTCCGCGCCTCGGCCCCCCGGCAGGAGTTCATCAAGTGGACGGTGCCCGAGGGCAGCGGGGGGCCCCAGTACGCGGCCATGTGAGCGCTCGCCGCCCCTGGGCGCCGCCGGCGGCCGAGTGGGCAAGCCCCGGCGTCCGGCCGCCGGCTGGGCCTCTCCGGAGTTGTGGCTCGAGCACTCGAGCGCCGAGCCGGGCGGGAACCCGGCCCGAGAACACCCGCGCACAGGCGGGGTCGAGATGCGTGGTTGAGCCTTTTGTCGACGGCGCCGCACTTTTCTGACGGCGTCGGGCGTCTGGGAAAGTCCCTCCGACTCTTTTAGGAGTGCTGGGGCCTGTTGCACAGTTGAGCCTGGCCTTCCACAGCGCAGATTGTTTCACGAGGGGTGCCCTTGTTTGCCTGCGCTGGGGAGGGCGGCTTGTGGGAGCGGAGAGGCACAGCGAGAAATGGACAGAGAGAATTGTGCGCGTTGGCTCAGCAAGAGAGGCGGCGGCACCTGCTGGGTGACGGACGAGCTGTTAGAATTGCGTTTCAGAGCGAGGGCAAGCATGAGTGTTTATGGCCACGGCTGCAACAGCTGGTGCGCTTCGTCAAAGGCGCTGGCACTCCGACGCTGGGCAGCTTCGGCTGTAGCCTGGCAGGACCACGTCGGGCTTCGACGACGAAGACAGCTCTTGCGGGCTTGACCCTGCCAAACTTGGGTGCCAGGACGGGGGAGGGGGGCAAGTGGGTCCCCGAGCCCTCGCATGGGCCAGTGGTGAACTCCTTTGGTGAACCTCTCTGGAGGACTTCCTCCGCCACCTCACGGAGGGGGAGGGAGGAGGGGGAGGATGATGAGGAGGGGGAGGGGGAGGAGGAGAGGAGGAGGAGGAGGAGGAGGAGGAGGAGGGGGAGGAGGAGGAGGACCCTCCTCGTCGTCCTCCTCTTCCTCCAGCCGGTGTTGCTCCTCGCCCGCCTCCTCCTCGTCATCTTCCTGTGGCCATTCTCGTCCTCCTCGTCCTTTCTATTTTTTTTTTTTTTTTTTTTTTTTCTCTCTCTCTCTCTCTCTCTCTCTCTCTCGAGAGAGAGAGAGAGAACTTGGCGAGGAGGGCCTCACCGCGGGCCTGCGCGCATGGGGCTCCAGCTCCTCGTTGCTCACGCCTCGCGTGCTTCTCGCCTGGCGCGCTGCTTTCGCCCCCCCCCCACCCCCCCCCACCCCCACCCACTGGGCGCGGCCGCCCGCGGTCCGCGGGCACCGACCACACATTTGGTGACGTCGGTGCAGCGTCGGCCGCGGCGCAGACATCCTCCAGGAGCTCGGTCCAGGCGCCACGGTCGGGAACTTTTGGATGGCGTGTCGCTCCGCCGGCTCTGGCCCGCCACGCTGCGGCGCGACACACGATCCGCTTCCCGGCCGATCGCCAACGTTCCCAGCCGTGCTCGCAAGGCATAATTCGCGTGTCGCCGGGGCCGCCGCCGCGACACGCCTAGTAGAAGTCGAAAGGCATCCGTAGCCTGGCTCACGGGTGTTTAACCGCAATTGCGACCCAGGACGGGAAGGCAGAGGCCGAACTGGCAACCCTTCGCCAGAACGTGTAATCCAGCATGAAGGACATTCTCTCCCGAACTCAGTCGGACATCAGAGGAAGCACGGGCTTGGCAAGTTCTGAACAGTTTGATCCGCGGTCCAGTTGGAAGTGTTCGAATGCATGGGGATCTTCAGCGGCCGCAGAGCGCCCCCGATAGGAAAGCAGAGGAGGAGGAGGAGGAGGAGGAGGAGGAGGAGGAGGAGGAGGAGGAGGAAGAGGAGAGGATCTCAGCCGCCCGTGTCGTCTCGTGATCCTGGGCTTCCCTAGAAAGTTGGTGGTAAGCGCTCTTCGGCGACGTTTTGCTGCGATCATGGACTCCTTGTGAATCCGATGGTCCTCGCAGGGATTTGTCCGATTTTGAGGATCATGCTGGCTGTTCGGTGTTCGTTTCGAAAGCTCAGACGTTCCAGGACTGTCCAGTGTCCAGCCCCGCAGACCCAGACCAGGGCATGCCCTTGATATTGCAGTGCGACGTGCGTCCGAAGGATCGTGGGCTCTCCTACTTGGACGGAAAGACGCGCGGTCTATTGCGGGACTTCTTGGCTTCCAATGAGTGGCATATGTGGCCATCAGCTCGGCTGTAGGAGGTGGGGCCCGAAACATGTTTCGACGAAACATGTTTCGGGCCCCACCTCCTGAACGAAATTCGTTCAGTTGACGTCACAATCACCTTCCTGAAGATCCGTGTTGAGTGCTTCGACTGTCCCGCGAGGATCAGTAATTTGCAGACGGCTGTCTTTTCTGCATTGAGGAGCAGATTTGGGGTCCCGTTGGATTTTTTGCGCGCAGGTCGGCCCTATCCACGATGAGCTGTGCAATCAGCCTGACGGGGTGTGTAGACCTCACGAGTGAGCCAAGATGCGTCTCGTCAACTATTGGTGGGTGGGATAGGATTGGGCCTGGGGCGCGTTTGGCGTCTTCTGTGCACGGTTGTTCTGAGCTCTACATAAACAGTTTTCTTCACCTGCCTCTGAGAGTATGATTCGTCGTCTGGTTCAATATGTAGCGTTCTTGTCACATTCTACAACATCGCAGAATTCTCGTCCTTACGTATCCCTGGCTCCCTCGGTGTATGGAGCTGGAGTACTTGCCACGTTCGCTTCGACGGGAGCACGCGTGCGGCGAACCGGCCATGGGTTTTTGAGAAAAAAGGGTCAGCACATCGTCCTGAAGCATGACATCATGGTGCCCGAAGAATTGCGAGCACAGTCGGCTCCTCGCTCCTTTTTGCAGATGACGGCGGTGTCATGACAATCCTGCGCTTGGGTATTCTGGCGACCCTTTCCATCGCAGCCAGAGTTTCTCTTTTGAGCGATCGCATCCTCATGTCTTCGTTCGCGTTCGGGGGGGACGGTTCGTGTTGGTCGGTGGTGCATCGCGGACATGCGCCTGTAACGAGTGATGGAATCTTAGCGCGCCGCGGAGCCCTCTCTCGCCATATTGACGGCATGCCGCCGCCAATCCAAATTCTTGTTTCGGCCATCCGACACATTGAGCTGTATGCCAAATTTTGAGGGGCGTTTTCGTTTTTATGGGAGGTGGCAGTCTGGGGACCGATTCACAGTGATGAGTTGAACTCTCGGGCTCGAATCTGGCCACAGCTCTATCAGGACGCCCCGGCTCGCCTTTTGCGGACTCGGCTGTTTTCTCGAATGGCTTGTGGTCACTGTGAGAGGACGCGGTCATTCTCGGTTCGGCCTTGGGCTTCTGAATTTGCCCCGTCTTTCCGGCTGACCACCTTTCTGTTTCTGTCACTCTTTCTGCCAGTCAAGGTTTCGGATTGCCCATCAGCAGACTCCTCCATGTGTTGCAGTGGCTCCCTAGTACCTGGGGGAGGACCCAGCAGCCATTCGCAGGTGTCCTCGATCGCTGACAGCCATGGACCATGGAGATAGATACGGTGAGGGGCGTTTTCTTTCAGGAACAGCGCTGAGGGCGCCAGACGAAGACGCGCTCTCGGCCCCGTCGGTTGCCCAGAAAAAAAAGCATGCACTGGGCGCTCACGGCAACGCATGGATGGCGGTCTCGGCAGGCGTCCGCGTTGCAGCGCGCGCTTCAGAGCCACGGCTGCTTGCGCGCGCGCCCCAACGGGCGCGGCGGCGAGCGCGCAAAGTACGAGGGCTTGCGCGAGCGCGCAACGGCGCTCCAGGAACGCGCTGCTAGATCAACAGGAAGGGCTTTTGAAAGAGATGTAAGGTGGATGAGGAGGCGGAGACTCGGCTGCAGAAGCGGTTCCGGCGGGGTCGGTTTGAGGCTCCACTCGACGCGAGCGGGGCCCCTGCTACGACAGTTCAAGACTCGCGCTTGGCCCTCTGGCGCCACTGCTCCCGTGCGGCTTGCCGCGGCAGAGCTGCCGTGGGAGCTCCGGGGCATCTGGCGCCGCGCGAGGGGAACTTTTCCTGCGCGCGCGCCGGCCTCGCCCCTGACGGCGGAGTGATTCCGCGGCGGCCGACGCGCCCTGCAGGGAGGTCTATCTGGGGCCCCGCGGGCCCCGCGGGCACGCCGTCTCGACGACGCGCGCGAGAGGGGTCGCGCGCCCCCCTCCGCCCCCAGCGGCAGGGGCCCGACTGGCCCGCGTGCCCCGTGGTAGCGGGCGCGGGCGGCGAAGTCGCGTCGGGCCGCTCCGCCGCGCCGCTGGCTCAGCGCGCCCCTGCCATTGCGATCGAGGTTCAGCGTGGAGATAATTCCAGACCGGCCTCTCGGGGCCCTCGCCGGGCCCCGGGGCCGTCAAACAACACTTGGGATGAAAAACCGGCCCCGGCGAAGTGGTCGGGAGGTCGGGGGCCCGTGTCTCGAACGAATCGAGACGTCGGATGTCTGGGGTCGGGTGGCGGGTTCTCCTGGGCAGAGCAGTAGAGGCTAAATGGGTGGGCCTTCTCTAACTTCTCGCTGGGGACGTAGCGAGCGGTTGTCTGCTCGCATGCATTCGCGCCGCGTGCCCTGGCGCCGTTATCGAATGGGCGCCGCGCGCGTTGGCGCGAAGGGGGGGGGGGGGCGCGCTCTGATGCCGCCGGCTTCCTTGAAGCGCTGCGCCGTAACCGCGAAACTGCGATCGCGTCGGGCGATCTCAGATACTTGCCGTGGCCGCAGACAGGGAGTTCGCCGGGGGGGGGGCTGCCGCTGCGAGTCTCTTTGCCCACGGGCTAAACCCCTCCGCGGAATGGTTTGCTCTCGCTTGCGCCCGTCGTCGTCTGCAGGGGCGCGCTGATGGGGTGCTGCATGGTTTGACAGATGTAGCCATTGGGCTGGCCCCTTCAGAACCCGTGCTTCTTGGGCCTGCGATCGGAGCGACCATCTGGGCGGGCGCCAGCGAGTGCAGGTGGGCAGCTCATGCCGCGGCTGACGGGCCTGCCCCTCTCGCGGGGGCCGGGCGCCCCAGCCTGGCGCCGAGCCATTCCCGGATGTGGGCCGCGGCTCCGGCGCCGCAGCCGCCGCGCGCGCGCGGCGCGCGAGCCCCCCCCCCCCCCCTTGGGGCGGGCGGGGCGCGCGCGGCGCCTTGGGCCCAGCGCTCGAGCCC